AAGCAGAAGGTACAAAGGAAGTACAAAGGCAAGATGGAACAGCCTAGCAGTTCTTCTGATTAGCTGGCAGGGTGAGATCACCTATTACAAGGGTAGATTAATGATCATCAGCTTATGAAGCTTAGTACAATGGTACAATCAGGCATCCCGCATGTTTGGTTATTCTCTTATGGTTAGAGGGGTCAAGAAAGTAATTACAAAGCCATGAAACAGTTACAGAGCTAGGCAGTTTCAAATGAACAAAGTTTTAAAACAATTTCTCTTGTACAGCTTTTCCCTTTCAGTTCCACTAAAAGTCTTTTTTTAATATGTCACTGAACAACTCAGAGCAGCCCTCCAGCAGATGAAAATGTTATCAAAGGCACCTCAGCTCTACTCTGCAGACAATCACCTTTTTCCTCTTTCAGAGTAGTTGAATAGATGCAAATATATTTTGGCACTCAAGCATAACACATTCAAATGCACCTAAGTGTGAATTTCCCAGATGAAGTTTCTGTAGCACTTCTAAAATGAGAGATGAATCTTCAGTGGATCTGACAAACCAGCTAGAAGACCAAAGGAGTCCACTGATAGGAATGGAAAAATTAATTACTTTCAACAACCATCAGCTTTAAAATAACAGTAAAAAGAAAAAAATAATTAAAACAAGAGAGTTATTCCTAGCAATTTGAGGACAAATGTTGAAATAGTTTTTGAGTTACAACATACTTGACTGTTGTATCATTTCATATTAAGTATATGGAGAAAAGAAAAATTCTAGGGTCTAGACCTCCACCAAGAAGAGCTCCATATCTATGGGTTAAAACATCAGGGTCAAATTCATACTTTTCCCTTTCCATGGAATCAATCTGTGGACTCAGATTATAGGATCATGTGAGTGAGGTGAGCCAAGCTTTGGAGAAAACATCAATAGAGAGCCTGGTCAGATATAATGCTATTTTTCCTATGCACTCAAAAAGGACAAGGAAAAAAGCATCATATGCCAGGCTTTGGTAATATACAGTACATATGTCATTCAATCCATGCTCCTAGCATTAGCAAGTACTCTTCATTTTAGAGAAATGAAAAAAATCTCCTACAATTTAATGTAGGGAAATAGTTTCTGAATCTGGAAAAAGACAATTAACAGACATAGGTATAAAACTTGCCCCTAGTGGTGACAATCTGCTAAATTTAGATAAATCTATTACTGGACATTCATGTGTGTTATGAGATCCAGACAAAGAAGTGGTAATTATGATTTCTGGTTTGTAGTGGGACAGCCCAACTAATAAATTTTTAAATGCAAGTAATTTATTACTGAAGAGACATCTGAAAATCAAATATCACCATATATTGGAAATTGGTAGTGAAACTGGATGCTGTTGGTAATACAAGGTAGGCCAGGAAACCAGTTAATTGTAGAATCAATATAGCTAGAAATGCTTGTAACTTGGGTTAACATGTATCTGTATTTTCTGTTGTTATTACTTTTTCCCTCTATATAAGGAAAACACTGCTCTGACAAAGGATCCAATCACTGGGCCAGATACCAGTGAGGTCCATTCTCAGCACCAAGAGACAGTGGGTCAGAAAGGGTCCTAGGCCAGAGACCACTTCAATAAACCAGATCCTGGGATGAGGACAACAAATGTGTGAAGCCAGGACAGATGGACTTTATGATCCTCAGGGCTGGAGGTACAATCCATATCTGGCCTGCAGAGCTAAAGAGATGAAGCAGCACAGACATATGATTTAAGTTGCAGAGTGATAAAACATGCATGAGAGCATGAGTGATAATGAACAATTTGCTGTAATGTTTGGTCCAGTCTTCTGCTCCTATACAGCAGCTACACAGCTACTCCAGGGTCCATCTCCAACAGTCTCAGCTTTCACCGGTTAATTCAGCAGATCTGACTGCAGAAATTACCCAGGTGGGAGCATGACTATGCAGAAATGTCGTAATTTACTTTAAAAAAATTTTATGGGGAAAAGCCAAGATAGGTTTTTGAGTACAAAAGCCCTATTGTGTTTAATCCTGCTCCATGTTATATTATGTTCTAATGAAGTCTGTATACTTTTCTGCAGTTAAATCTCACAGATTTAGGTGACAATCTTTATGTAGGGATTGCAAACCTTACCTAATCCAACTCCCTCTTCCTCATCAACAGTCACGCCTCTTCAGTCCCCTAACCTTCATTTTTACTATATATTGTCTTAATCACAAACAACACAAAATATCATGCTGTGTTTTAAAATTATGCTTTCAATTCTCATTTTGATAGTCCTTAAACATCAAGATAGATTAGGTAGAGGATTCTAACCCATAATTTTGGAAAGACTATAGGTATTTTCCCCTGGATAAGATCTTTTACTGTTGAAGTTTGTATAGCTAAAACAAGAAAAAAAGTTACAATCTGGCTCCACTCGTGTAATACCTTGAGACACAAAGTCATCTTGCATCTCACTGCCCTAAGACTTGTTAATGACATTTATACTCAGTGCACAGCATTCTAACACCTTGGAACAAAGCATTTTTATGTCAGTTTCATTAACAGTGATACTGAGAAAGCTGCTTGCAGCACAGCTAAACGCCAGAGGAACTCAAGCCCATCTGATCTGAAAAACCATGGCACCACGGTAATAAAACAATTAAGAGCAAGCCCCAGGGAAAGACAAGTCCAACAATTAACCTTCAATGCCAATTAGTGCTATCACTTTCTTAGTGGCACAAATCATATCTATGAGAGTAAGATCAAAATGTAGTTCCTAACACTAGTCATTAAACCGAATATGTATATTCTTCATATGCACTTTCCATTTAGGCAAAAGTTTAAAAAAATAAAAAAACTTAGTAAAAATACTGCATGGGAGATATATTATTTATCTATCAAGCTTTAACCCATAAGACAATTAGAGACATAAGCAATTTCTTCAAACTCAACAAATAAGCTAGAAACCCCCTTTTTTAAAGGGGCATGGAGAGTGTAAAAAGATAATCCCCAAACTACATGTTAAGTTCTAGGCAGGATCCATATTAAACATTACATGCTCTACAAGGAACCAGGGCTCTTTGGAGGTCTGGTTGATTCCAGGGTAAGCATGGAAAGTACAAAATGAGCCTGGAACATAATGTGTCAGAAAGTAACCAAGAGCTCATAGAAGGAAGGCGAGCCTAAAGGACACAGCTTGAAGGAACTCCAAGGGGCCAAATTTGGGACAATTTGAACATCAACATAAATAATGGTAAAACATATCAGAGCCTACTGTATAAGATAACAAGCTCTGTGACTGTAAATGATCTAGATAAGTAAGTAAATGGTAAGAAGAGAAAACTTCTATTACAGTAAAAAGCCAACTGATAAATGTAGAAAACAATAATTTTTAGCAATCATCAAAATAATAATTCAGAAAAAGAAAAACACATGAATTCTAAAACCAGTGGGTAAAACAGTATGATAAAGGATATTCATGATCTAGATGTGCCTTCCCAATATGTTGATTAACATGGTTAATGTTGATTCACAACATTTTATTATTTTCTATTTTCTGTTTGATCAATCTTGCATTCTTACATCTGGTATTCTGAGCAACTTTGTTGAAGATAATAATTCCTATCATTTTGTTTGTTTTAATGTTGTTTTGTTTTTGTCTATGTTGTTGTTGCTGTTTTTTTTTAATTCTCTTTAAAAAAAAAAAAAAAAAAAAAAAAAGCCTGGCCAGATCTGCCTCAACCAAGGGGCATTGTAGGCAAATGAGATCATATGATAGGACAGGAAAAAAACAGTATCAGCTCTCCGATGTTCACATAAAAAATATATTTATACTATCAGTAGGATCATGATAAACTATCAGATAAACACTCCATCTACCTAGGCAGGAATTCTACAATATATCTGACCTGCACTTTTCAGAACTGCCTAAGTCAAAAAGGTCAAGAAAGACCAAGGAACTGTTCCACACCAAAAGAGCCTGGAGAGATGTGTCACCCAGATTTAATATACAATGCTGGACTGGTACTGCCCACTGCTGAGACAAATGGAGAAATGTGAGTAGGGTCTCAGGATCAGAGGTGACAGGAATGTACTAGCCTGAGTTTCCTAATTTGGATACTGTATTATAGCTATACAGGAGAATGTGATTTTGTAAAGAAAATATACAGGGAAATATTCAGGGGTGTGGAGCAACACTACAGTTAGGATCTTGAGTGTTCCCCAACACCCCATATGTTGAAGGCTTAGTCCCAGGGTAGCATGAATGGAAGATGGTAGAACTCTTAAGAGCTGGGGCCCAGTGATAGGTGTTCAGGTAACAGAGTGTGTCCTTGGACAGGACAGCAGAATCTCAGTCCCTTCCCTTCCTTGCTCTAACTTCCTGGCATGAAGGAAGTAGCTTTGCTCTGCTGTGATCAAGATGTGCTGCTTCCCCATAAGCCCCATCTAATCAGTTGACTATGGGTAAGACTCTCCAAAACTGTGAGCCAGAGTACAGCTTTTCTCTTTCCAAGTCAAGTACCTTCCATGATTGTTACACTGGTTACAACTAACACCAACATTTACTTTCAAATGTTGCTGCAATTAAAAAACTGTTTTTCATTATTGCACCTTTTCTCTAATATTATTTCCAAAGACAAAACGACATAACACCAAATCCTCTATGTATAACTAGTCATAAAAACATATAAATAATGGAAATAAAATTCTTAAAAGAAACCCTTGTATTGAAGTATTGCATTTGAGAAGTACTTTAAAAAAAAAAATCCCTTAATGTCATTTTCCACAACAGCATTAACTTTGAAGATGACTACATATATGTTCATGTTTAATTCAACAAGAAAATGGGTATTATAAAGAAGACCTCCAGCAAAACAGAAGAGAAAATAGCATAATAAAGCAAACAGTCTTCACCTTTTATACCTACTCAATAGTTAATTCCAAGATGCATGGTTTCTCACACTGCCTCATCACCTTACTTTCTCGAACAATACATACAAAGAGCTCTGAAAACCAAGGGCCACATACCTTGATTTAGATGTGTGGCCTCCACGATCTGGACACCATTCACAGAGCACTGGGACCCACTCAGGGGTATCAGCATCACCGTCCCCCCAACATTTTCGAAGACACAGTGCTCACTCTCCAAGTCAAGGCCATGAAGAACTAAGTTGGAAAAACAAAGAAGAAAGCTTTTATTTTCCCCCTTTGGTATCTACTACAATGGTGCCCAACCACTTAGCTATTGACTTTACATTTGGAATACTCTCTTTCCTACAAAAGGATTGTCAACTGAACATTTATGCTCAGTAAGAAAACTAAAATGTAGGACTCCTGAGAAAATAGAGGTACCATTTGACTGGCAGCTCAGTGTCCAGGCAGCACCTGCACAAGAAAACAAGTTCTCGGGCATCCACTTATTTTTTTCCTCCAGAAGAGAAGAGTCTGGTAGCTTGTTACAACTCAGTACCACTGAGCTGCTCTGTTTGATTCTGAATAAATTTCTTCTAGAGGCCACCCAAAGCCCACAGAAAAATGGAAGGGCAGAAGGCTCTGTAGGTCTAGGAGTTAGGATGATCCCCACACTTACAGATAACACATCCCAGGAACAAAAAGCAGAGGCAAGCTTGGCCTGGAAAGGATCTCAGGCCCAAGAGGTCTCCAGAAGCTATGCTAGGGGCCCCTGGCCATAACCTGTGCCAATTCTGAGGCCCCTAAGAGGACACGGTCCTACGGTAGCCCTAATCATGACTACCTTGGTTACTCTTGCCTGAGGAATGGCTCGACACAGAAGAAATGTATGGCTAGAGGCAAAATTCTTGGCCAGGAACTCAGACTACAGACCAAGGAGCTCTGTTCCTTCCACACAATGCAGTACTGATCTTCCTCAGGCACACAGAACATGTGTTCTTACCAGTCATCACCATTTACAGCTACCCTGAAGGTCAGATGCATAATTCAAGCAGAGGCCTGCTGCCAACACTTGAACCTGTGGGCTTCTGGGATTGATTTTTAGCTCTCCCAGGCTCCACAGTAAATAGGAATACACACAGGAATGTGCTGGGATTGGCTTGATTAATAGCTTATACTGGACAACAAAACAGGTTCATAGTCAGCAATTCTCAAAACATCTGAAACAACATAACTTTCCCCAGCCAATTCCCACCTTGCCCCACACACATATGCATCCATCACACTACCTTCTCCTCTACAAACTGCCTATGTGATGCTCTGGAATCCTGGCGGGCCCTCCTCTGCTCAGCCCCAACCACCGGTTGTCTGTGGGCCTCATGAAGACTAATGGGAAACGCACCAAGCCAGGCCTCCCTGCATGTGAGTGCTATGGTATCTTCTACTGTGTCACCATCTATGTACAGAAAAGTGTCTATATGCTGCCTGGAAGAAGCTGTAGATTCCCTGTAGCCTTTGGCATGTTTTCATCAATCGCTGTCTCACTGTGACAACTGAAAGACCCGACAGGGAAAAATGTACGTAGGGTGGCAGAATGAATTCACAGTTTCATTTGGTTCATTAAATTAACTGCTCTGTTACTTACTTGAGTACTGTTCAGAATTACAGAGATACACATACTGTGCTGACCAATACCGTATTTGAAAATATTTTTTACAATTTTGAGTGTCACTCAAAAGCAAGTTCCCCATTAAATATGCTTTGAAACATTCAGTGGAAAGAGAAAATTGATGAGTCTCACCAATATCTTGTTCTGTTGAAGCATCTTCTCTACCAACATATGTCTGACCTTCCTGGGAAGAAAAGTCGAGTAACATTTCTTAGTGAGAACAGGGTGCCTGCTTCCCCCCTCTCCTCACTGAACGCAAGCAGACTGAGAGCCAATGCAATCAATGGGCAAGGGCGTGGTCTCCACGCAGGGTCGACTCATTGAGGCAGGGCCCAACAGCCCTCAGGTATGGAAAATGGCAGTGCACTGCTGAGGCTCTGCTCAGCAATGGTTAGGTTTCCACCTGGCACTTGTCACCAATTCACTCATGCCAGCAGGCCACTGATGTCCCCGATCCTTGCTGGGGAAGCTCTCTGCCCATGCCAGGCTGACTTTGTGTGCTGTGTGTGTCTGAAGGTATGGTACGTGGGAGGCCAGTGTAGCATCTTTCGTAGTTTAGGTCATGGATCAGCAAGGACATTAAAATCAACTTCACAGGCACAACCATCAAAATGGAACTTTGCTTGCTGCACATGGGTAACCTACTCAGAGGCAAAGCCAGTGACAAAAGTGGGAGGCACAAACTTACAATGACCACAAGGACCCAGGAAACTGTACACACAACAAATCCCAGCCCTGGGCATTTCAACTGTTACTTCCTCTGTCTTTCTGCCTTTTTGTTCCTTGCCTCCTTTTTCCTGCTTCTGCAAAATAGCAGCCAAAATGACTGACTCATCATTTAGCTTTCAGACCACTGCACACGAACGTGGGAACTTCAAAGACCACAGAATCCCAGGGAACTGTTGCAAATCCCCGAAGGGCTCAAAGATGTGTTACATATTCTTTAACAGCTGCATTCATGACCACAAAGTATTATAATAAAGCTTTCTAATGTCTAGAGAGAAAACTGGAAACAAAATTAAAATGTTCCACTTAAGCAGGTTCTACCTTCAAATGATACAAGATGATTCCAGTGCTCAGAAGGTCATCATCAATGCCGATCAGGTGGGGCAGCTCGGAATCCAAAACGACCCCAATCCCTTCCTTCCTAAGGGCTAGCGTCTGTTCCTGAAATAAGAGAAAAGGCAGAGGTGACTTTGGGGTAAGAGAACTTCATAGTAAGTATTTTTAAAATGCAAGAAAAATGGACTTTAATCTTCACACTGAAATCCTGGCAGGTGATACGCAAGGTGAACACAGGACGTATAAAACGTTCAATACAAAATGAATTATATAGCTTGGTATGTAACTTTCTCAACACCAATCTCAAAGGCCGTTTTCCTCAGGAAAGATTTTAGGACCACTCACCACAAAGTAATCTTTCTCCCTTCTTCAGAGCCTTTTACTTCCCTTCAAATCCAGAATCTCGATTGGTGGCTCTTCTCACCCATCACCATGGTACCCTATGCATGTTCTTGAAAGTGGCCATTTGCTGCACATTAGGCACCACTGGCACCAGACAACCTGTGTCTCCTGTCTTCTGGATCATTCTCCCTACCTATATGTCTGTAGCAGATCACCTACAAAGCCATCCCCCCAACTCCCTGAGCTGCATCTCCCTCAGCTACCACTAATTTCTCTGTGCCCTGAGAGAAAATCACCTCAAGATGTGGCTCCCCAATTCCTATCATTCTTTAAACCTTCCATGGAGACTGTCATCCTTAGTCTCTGCCTACACTGACTCTCTTGAAGATCTCCTCTTGACTCCTGACTTCACCTGCCATCTGTATGCTGAAGCCTCTCAAAATCAGCAGAGCAAAGCTCCATACTTACAAATATACACCTGTCATGGTCATTATCCCACCCCAGGGACCCCAAACTGGCAACTTAAAGGAGAAGAGATTTATTTGGTTCACAATTTCAGGGGGCTCAGTCTTGGCTGGCTCCAAGACCAAAATACCATGATGAACGGTCTTACCAGAGGAAAGCTGCGCACACCATGGTAGCCAGGAAGCAGAAAGAAAAGGGAGGAGCCAGCCAGAGAAAAAAATACATCCTTTCCGGTCACAGTCCCACCCAGTTCTGCCTCCTAACAGCACATTTAGCCATGAACTCACTGATGGACTATCTACTGATGATTGCAGCACCCCCATGAGCCAACCACCTTCCAAACACATGAGACTTCTAAGCAATATTTTAGACCTAGACCGTAACAATACCCACATAACTCAATATACCCGTGCAGACACCAAACAGGCAGCCCACCTTTAATACTAAAAAGCATAACCCTGACCTCCAGACTGATATAGCACAGTAAATGCCAACTTTCCAGCAGTTACTCAGATCAAAACTCATGGCTACACTTCGCTCCTTTCTTTTTCTAGTCTAAACCCTACCTCCACAGTGCTGACTCTTACCTTGCAAATAAGGCCCACAACTAGTTATGTCAAGTCACCTGCACTACTCTGCCCCAGCCCAAATCATCATCTTTCGCAGTAATCCAGGCTGTCGCTTATACCCCGTGATACCACACAACTCAGCAGCCAGAGCAAGTCAGAGCCAGTTATTTCTCTGCTCAGATCGCTTTGGTGTCCCCCTGTTTCAGAGTTAAAAACCTTTACCTTCACAATGCTTCACAAGCTTGGCAGACCTCAGGCCTTGCTGACCTGCTCTGTCTCCTGCAGGACCACACTCACTTCTCTCTAGGCAGCCTGGTTGCTCACTAGGCCTCCCTCTTACCAGCCTGCTCCCACTCAGAGCCTTAGTCACTGCTCTTTCTTCTGCCTTTGTGTCATTCTATTCCTGCTCTTGCCTGAGACCACGGTCTCTCATGCTCGGCACTACAGACACCTATAACTTTTCATTCTTGAGCACTGCTGGACACTTAGCAGCATCCCTGGCCTCCACCCATTAGCTAGTAGCAAAATTGCCCTCCCCTGAGTGAGGGACATTGCCAAATGTCTCCTGGGGGATCACACAGGTCCAAGGTGAGAATCACTGCCCTTGCTACACATATACCATGGCCCATTACTTCCTTCAGGATCTGCGCAAAGCTGCTTTCCCCATCCCTCCACACGGAACAGCAAGTACCATGCTTCCTCGCGCTGACCTGTCTCTCTCCCCTGTAATCATTACACATGCAGTAGCCAACTACCGCTGGCCCCATGAATGAGCGGGAAGTGCATGGAGTGCAGGGCAAGACACAAAACATACACAGAGCAGCCCTCAGAGAGGAGCCTGGCTGGACCATGTCTTAATGCCAGGCACAACGGGCCCAGCACAAAAGACCTCTAATATCAGGTTTTTAAGGGAGTCCAAGGTGGAAAGTAGACAAATTCTGCGAGAGTAAAGGTGAAATTTTCAGTCTCAAGGCTGCGCCATGCTGAGTTCAGCCTGAGTCACACCCTAGAACAGGGCACTTTGGGAGCAGGTTCCAATCTGCTAATCAAAGCGCTGGTCAGGTTCCTGATGAATCTCCTCCTCCCCCTGCCCTATACATCTCCATATCTCAGTGCTGCCAGAAAGTACAGGCTATTCCTTATCTTCCTGGCATGGATTAATGCTATTTTGATGTCACTCAAATATTCAAACAATGTTCTAGTAAAGGATTGAGAACTTCTCAAGCTAGTGTCAAAGCAGAACTGAAATCTTGCAAACAAGGGAGCTTTTAAGAGGTTCTGGCCCACTGCGGTGACAGAAGAAGAGTCCCTCAAGCCTTTCTCACTGCAGAGCTCTAGGTCTCAAACACAGCCACAGACTTGGAGTACAGTCATGGGAAAGGGCGACCAAATGAAGTGGCAGGAGAAAAAAAAGAAGGCTTAAAAGAAACACATAAAAATCACCACTTGAAAGAAAGCAATTTAATTTAACAACCATTAAATAGATTCACAGAGAAAATGACCAATGCATAACTTAGATTCAAGAAAGGGAAATGAAGCGTATCATTGTTCTTCAATTACTCCTCTTATCAGCGGGTTCCCATTCCATGGTTCAGAACCTCAGGCTGTGAGATGGGAGACTTCAGTAACCTTGATTTACTACACCAAGGCCCTTGCAAATCTTGGGTAAAAATGAGCACGCCACATAAAACAACCCCTACCTCCTACTGCTCAGATACTGGTAGAATTCATGTTCTCCTTCCTGCCCATGGAATTCAAGCAGAAGTAGAAAGTATGTGATCTCTCTTTTTAAAGATGTATATTGTGGTAGAGGACTTAATCTCACAGCTGCATTTCACAAAACAAGGTCCCCACTGGAAGGTTTGGTGGTTCCAAACTGTGTGACAGTACTGCACACAAAGGAAGCAGCCCCATAGGATGGACTAATTCAGGGCTCTAAATCCAGGTGGAAAAGAGATCGACTATTTTCACAACTCTAGGGCCGTATGCATTTTCTTTATGGAAAAAAAAAAAAAAAAAAACGACAGTAAGGTACTCCCTTCCCTTCTCCTTCAAAAAAAAAAAGAGAGAGAGAGAGAGAAAGAAAAAGAAAAAGGAAAGTCAGAATAATAAACTAGAATAGCTCCTACTCAAGGTGGGGAAATTGCTTTGGACTCTATTCAAGTTTAGTTTAGTGTTCTTTTTAAAAAAAAATTGAAAAACACTTCTTTTTCTTCCTTGAATCAAGTCTCACAGACTTTGAGAACACTGGAAATTTGTCATTTTAAAGCCATTAGGTCAAAAGCATTACTTATTCCCACCCACCTCCACACACGCAAAAACACACACACACTCACACGCTCCACTCTTGCACACATACAATGGGTAACACCTGCATTAGGAGAAAGTTTTCCAGGCCTGAAAGTGGGGGCAGATGAATTTATGATTAATGTTGCCCTAAAGCTCCATGACATTCAAGCTGCATTCAACTACATGATATTATAAAAGTGTCATCTCATAAAACTGAAAATGAGGGTTTAAATCATGGCTTGAGTGAAAAAGTAATTTCAGACAAAAATATCTATCACATATAAAATATTTATTGAGTGGCATCTACTGTTATACATAATTTATGAAACACCTCTTGGATAAGACGACGGAACACTTGACATGGCAGAGCTGGCCACCACCCCCACAGGCTCACTGGGTCCCACAAAGAGAAAGAGGCAAACACATGGAGCTGCACAAAGCTTGCATGGAAACAAAGCTTTCAGCAGACAACACTGCTTGAATGAAAAGGAAACTACAGGCTAAGATGATCAAAGCAATCTTGCATCTGCTACTTTGAACATTAACTTCATTACATTTGCAAATAATATACTCAATATGCTTTTCTTCACACCTAACACCTTTTCTCGTAAAACACCTCTGAATTTAAAACATGTGCCCAGTACTGGGGCTGACACACAACCACATTAGGGGGATTCGAGGGCTGCCCAGATTCTTGGGGTGAGGTCTTGGCTCATGGGAGATTCCCTTGGACAACAAATCCTGTGCATTAGACTGAGCAAGGGTTCTACCTCTTATAGTCACGTGTTCTTAGTGTCTGGCACTGTACCTCACAGAACTGGACAACTTCCTTGAAGTTACATGAGGAAGTGAAGACCAACACAGAAACTAACCAGACTGGGGGTGGGGCTCAGTGGTACAGTATAGCTTTAACAAGCACCAGGCCCTCAGTTCAGTCCCCAGCAGCGAAAACAAAGCCAACACAAAAACTCATCAACAACAAAAACATCTGCCCCCTTTTGGAACTCCTACCTGGGAGCTATGTTTAGCTTGGAAAAAAACTATGAAAATAGTGGCAATGGGTATGCCCAATTAAATTAAGCATACTCTATGAAATGGTGTTTTCTCACACTGAGTTTTCTAGGCGGATGCAGTGGCACTGGTACATGGTAATCATTCAATCGTGGCTGATTATCTGGTACTATAGGAAATGATTTTTAAGTGGAATCCCCTCTAACAGATAAAAATTGAGTATTAGGATCTTTTTATGGAAAGTTATTCTACAGATAATTACATATTTAACTACTGGAATTTTGAAGAGTTGACTCACATCTATGAAGTGCACCTAACCTTTCTAATCCCAAGCAAAAACACTGAGCACAAGTCAGTGTGTGTGTGTGTGTGTGTTTTGGGGGAGGTATCAGAATGGGGTACTGAAGCACACATCTATGTGGGTGTCCA